AAAATTAAATTTTTTGAAAATTACAAAAATGTTTCAAAAATCCATAAAAAAATTTCAAAATTAAATTTCATTATTTTTGGAAAGCTGAGTTTAAAAACAACTTGTTAACTCATATCAAGAAAGTTCATATGGCCAATTACTGTCTCTTAATAGCGCAAGTCCATATCATTGTTGACTTTTTACTTTATGTATTTTATTTTTTAACTCACACTGGCTGATTGTAGATTCTCAGCTTTGCGGCATCGTTGTATTGACTCCATTCATTATCACATACAAGCTTATTTAACTTCTCTTAAATAAAATGCAATGTTTAAAAAAAATTAAAACAATGCCGTATTTACAAAGCATTTTTAAGAAAAAGTAAGCAATATTAAAAAGTTGCCGTAAATTTCTGCTTAAAATGCAGTACCAACAAAGTTAATAATATCGGCGAATATTTGTTCAAAAAATAATGACAATTTTGGAGAGACTTTAAATTCATTTTATTTTGACACTGGCTCATAAATCCATATGGTAAGTTTCAATCAAGTAATTACTCATTGATTTGAGGTACAATTGAGGCTCGTACTGTAAGGAACTTCCTAAAAACATCTACAAGTATATACATATCAATATGCATAGGCAGCTACAAAAGTTAAGCTAAAAAGTACCCGGAAATTGTAAATAATGCAAAAAATATTTAATTATTCATTAATATTTATTTTGTCGATTTCAAAGTAATTCCCATCAGATTTCTGTAATACACTCACGCCGACGATTTTTACCTGTTCTCGAAACACTTTTCATAAGTATTTTCCGCGATGGTGTTCAGCTCCTTCAGCGAATTTTGTTTTATCTTTTCGAACGACTGAATATGGGCTCCACAGAGCGGCAACAAAAAAAAAAAAAAAAAAAAAAAAAAAAAAAAAAAAAAAAAAAAAAAAAAAAAACGCAAGCACTTTAATACGTCCAAATAGAACTCTTTCTTGACCGCCTGGCCTGACATGATATAACAAAGTACGAATAACGAAAAAAAAATTAATATCACCTTGATTTTTGAGCGGCTTTGACGATTTGGTTTTGGCTTTGGCTAGGTTTTCCCTCCATTCCGTTGATTGTTGACTTGTTTGCATGCCAAACTCATAAACCCATGTCTCATCGGCTGTTATAATGCTGTCAGTGAATGTGGGATCGGAATTCGCATGATCATCATATGTCCAAAGAGAACTGTTTACGGTACTCTAATTGAAAAAAATTCAGCTTTATCAGGACTAGTCGAGCAAAAAGGCGTTTCATACACAAAATATCCAGCAAAATCATTCGAACGAATTCACGAGAGATGTCGCGCTCTCTTGCCACTTCACTTTTTCAATATTTTCATTAGTTTGAAGAAGTCGAAGGACGTTCAGAAAGAGACATGACCTTTTTGTCACAATATATATTATATTACGAGGCAGCTAATTGTGATGTGTATATGTCTATATATATTTTGTGTATTTATATATCTATATTTTAATTTATGCCATTTTTTCATTAAATAAGCAATATGCTGAGCCATATTTAATTTCAGTCCGTAAGTCATAATAGCTTTACAGAGGCAGGTCATTGACAGTAATCGCATGTGTGGGTGGCTATTCAGTGCTTTACTGATTTTACTTGTTTTTTTTTTAATA